AAATTTATGTATATTTAGGTTATTTTTATAAATATGTAACAAAGTAAAGTGTAAATAAAGTGTAAGTAAAGTGTTTAGAAAGGATTGGATTAATGAAAGAAGGCAATGCAACACATGGGCAACATATAGAGAGCAATACATCAACAATTCTGCTTTGAAACAAATTTTTTGGATAGATATCAAAATTGCAACATGAGTGTGAGACTAATCGGGGGTAGGATGTTTACGAGGATGTCCCTCTCCTACCACTTACTCGACTCAAGACCTTGAGGTCCGGTCTCGCTTGTCTAAAGGATGGGAAAAAAGGGTTAGGAGAAAGGATCGTTAGATTCTTTCACCTGTCAGGATCTGACACCAATCTATCAATTTATCGCGGATAGATACGCGGATGGATGGGGAATTATCACGAGCGATCTCGTCGAGGACTTCGGGTTCAGTATGGAGTGGAAAATGTCGGAAGAAACGCACAACAATCCAAGTTCGTTAACAAAATACCCGTTTATTCCGTACATTTCTACATGGTTAATAATTGGAATACAAATCCCTCTCGGGGTTCAATCCGTATAGTTCATAAAGTAACGGCAAAATATAAAATAGTCGCAACCCTACCCGCGAGGTTCGAATATTCGAATAGCGAGAGAGAGCTTACATATCATCGCGTGTAGGATAAACACCTCTAGTTATACAGGATGGTGATTTCAGGACGATCTTGGAGTCTGAATCCCAGGCTCGTTAAAATAGTTCGTGAGTCGACGTAAGTCCGCAAATCGTAGAATAGTTCTATCGAGGATGGTGGCAACGAGAGGCAGGTAATCCACACACACACACAGAGTACAGAACAATAACTTTTTTCCCCCCTGTATCGTCATCGCACTTGTCTTTTATATGGGGGCTCTGTTTTCGAGATGTCCCCCATGTACGTCACAGGTGATGATCTTCTTTGACCAATGATGGGCGAAGTGACAAACTTATGACACAACAGTTAACTCATCTTCTACAGGGAAGTATTGT